AGTGTGCATGAGAACAATATTGTTTTTGTACACCAAAGGTTTATGGGTTTTCAGAAACAAATAATTATCATTATTCTTGTAATATAAGCATATATTAAATGCACAAAGTGAGCCAAAATCTAAAACCCCTCTGTGCAAATAAGAGGGTTAAATATAAGATTATTTCAGAATAGCATGATATCACATCAGAAAATGAATGGAAAACAATCTGAGAAAAAATAATACAGATAATAATACAGATTAACTCTAATGTTAACATTAGCTGTAATGTCACACTACTTAATATTCCTTTTAATGTCACTTTTTTTCCAAAGCAAGTTATGGTCACTATTGCTTATAATGTTAAATAGATTCATCTCAAAACACCAGAAAACCAGTTTGTTCTCATCTTCAGAGTAGCCAATCACAGGATATTGATGATGATAGTGAAGTCAAGCAACTATGTGATCACTGGACTTAAATTGCAAATAAATTACCATGTACTATTGCAATACTAGCACAGCATGGCAACGTAACATGCTCAATATACAACTTTATTTTCTTTATTTAACTGTAAAACACATGACTAAACATGGTTAAAACTCTTTGCTCTCCCATGTTGTGGTGCCATTAGATAATTCTGAAACCCTGTTAAAATCACACCAGAAGATATTAAGTGGGCTATACTGCGTATGGTTGCTGTACATCACAGCAAGATTATGTAACAGTTGCCCTTGTTTATTTTTAACAAGTGGGAGAACCGGGGTAGATTGAATTGCAGATGGAATGCATATTCATTTAAAAATGCACAATATCTTACCACTGCATCTTTTTAAAAGCACACCTGCTTACGAGTTTTGGTCTTCAACAAGGCTAATCTTTCCATTTCAATATGAAAAACCCTGCATGAATGGGGTGTTTTTGACCTTCTGTTCCTCCTTGATACTTACTAACATACAACTAGACTAATTGTCAGTGTAAGTGGACTTTAATGTATGCCAATGGCCATGGCTCCTTTTAAAGCTCTCAGATCCTGCGTTGGTTAGCATTGTGTTGGGTCATTACGATGTGCTTCTGTGTTGCCAGTAGTAAAAATATACACTTTTCGCTCTGGAGACCACTGAATGCAATGGCAAAATGAAAAATAATTCCTCTTGACTACTCAATGCTCCCACATTTGTTCAGCACAAACTCTTGTGGTTCGTTCTTATTTAAATATTGACATTTACATGCACTGTGTATCTACAGAACAAATGATCATACTCTGCTCTCCCACTTTAGAAGAAACCGAATTTATATTTAAGGATATGTTCAATAGGAATGCATTTTAATGAGCCTTCTTTGGTTTTATAATATGATGCAGGTGACACCTGGAGCTAACATTGTGTTCTAGACCATTTTATTTCTGATGGGTTGACACAGCAGAGAGCAACAGTCCTGATAACAATGACATGTAAAATAATCATTTTCACCTGCAAATAATACACTGTGTGTCACACTGTGAAAGGCATTAAATCTAACACCATGTCTCATATTCCAGCATCTGAGAATGGTAAATGATACCATCTGTTGAGAAGAGCGAGACTCATTTGATAATGTAGCTGTTTTAGCACCTATTAATTCACTCAGTTTCCACCTTTCAATTACTGTAAAGATATGGATCCAGGAAAGGATATTTTTGGATCTGAAGTACAGCCGCAAATTAGCTTGCGAATGTCCAACTAAGGACAATGACACCTTATGAAAGTTTTTGTTTGCTTTCCACTTGTTCTGTCTGAATAGCGTATGTTACTTTATGGCATTTAAACATGCACTTTCAGTTTTCAAAAACGATAACTCTCGTTATCTTGGCTATTTTAAATGCAGCAAATGGAGGATGCTCACCGGTGATGGGTGTTCTAAATGGCTGCTTCAGTCATGACAGCGCTTGCATCTTAAGACTTTTTCAAGGCAGCAAACAAACAATTGACTGCAAATGTGGCATAGATCAGATAGAAATCAGATAGAAGCAATTCTGGGCAAATGGGACTAATGTCATGTATAGTACATTACCATGTGATTCAGACTGGGGATTCCAGTCCTCCGTCATTCACGCGTAGGGCGAACAAGCAAGTTAAATGCATGAATAGGCTATGTGATGTTCCTGACTGCAGAAACAAGCGTGCAAGCACACACATTTGGTGGGAACTGCAGTTTTAGTATGCCAGCAAAGCCTGACTTTGAAGAATACATTTTAAATAAATAAATAAAAGTTTAAAAAATGTGGGCAGTCAATGAGCCTTACGTTTCTGTTTGCAATGCAGACCTCTAACAGTTCTTCGCACGTGCGAGGTGTAGCCATGGCAAAAATAAAAGGAAAACGAAGCGCAGCTTTAATTAGTAATTCCCCCAAACCCATTTATCATAACCCTCGGAACTGTGCTCAGACTATAGACACAACGTTCTCTCGATTAGACACATGTCAAATTAAATTATACAGCGCGATAAAGACTTGCAGAAATGACGCATGAAAATTACTTGTTTATCATTTGTGTCTGTCAAATGTGCAAAACTCCTGAAGAAGTACACGGACATGTCCCGGTAGGGAGTAGGTAACAACCTCCTGAGTTTTTGAAGTCTGTTCTGATTAATCATTCAATGCTTAATGCGCTGCACACAGCCTTCCATCCAACGATTTCCTTAATCTGATGATGCAAATTGATTATCTAACGAGAAGTTCCCTTAAACTATTCTCAAAGTCCACTGCACACTGCACACTAAAACATTCATTTAACGTTATGACCTAAGTCATCAAGCTCACATTTGTACGAGTTCAGACTGACGGCGTGCGACCAAAAATGCCTGCATGTCAGTCGCACTGTGAGATTCAGTTTTACAACAATCACAAAATGTCTAATGTCTATTGCCATCATGTGGTTGAAATGGGTACAACAGCGTAGACGAATTCTTAAGCTTTTCATTCAGCATCTTTTCGACAAAGGCTTTGATCAAAATTTTACAACTGATTAATTTCGTTACCTCTAAAATGTACTCACAGCCTGTGCCACCTGAGATTTTGATCGGCACAAACAGTACAACTGGAAAAATTATACTACTACAGAATAGCCTTTTTGTGAAAGCAAGTGATACACTTCTGGTCTTTTGAAAATATTTTTAAGTCTTGCTGTTCACCATTCTGAAACGTTTTAAAGGAAGCTTATTTGTTGACATACTATGCTTGTAATAAACTCAATGAAGGTGAAATGAAGTACTGATAAATTGTCTTTTGCTGTTATATATTATAATATTATATTTGCCTGGACTGCAAAGTAGTTATGATGTTTAATATATAATATAAAATAATGATATTTAATATATATAACATTTTTAGAAACCCATGTTCAAATCAAAGGCAGTGAAATACCAAAGAGGACCTTTTCAATGAAAGTCACCTCTGCAGTATTGCATGTGGGAGTATGAGCCATCAATAAACATTAGCTTTGATCTTCATCCATGGTGAACTGAAGTGCAAACCATCAAACCTCCAATTGGTCAACTTTTGCAACACAACATGAATGGTACACTCACCACCTATCAACAGGTTGGAAAGGAACTGTAACATTGCATCAGTTTGTGCACTGCCAGGTTCTGTTGGAATATCTGTGCGCCCAGGCACTACTCTGAAGATTTGGGCTGAGACTTTATATATGAAAAAGTTCAAGGGCGCATTTATGTTTAAGTGTCATAGTGGCATAGCTCACCTCCATGCAACAAAGTTTCCATTGTATAAACAACATGAACACCACAAATACAATGAACCCATGAAGCTTCAAACAAGTTCAATTAATGATATGCAATGTACGAATTTAACTATACTGTATTTCCATAACTCCATTACATATACCCCCTCAAAATTCTGATAGGTCAAGGACTGTGAAAGAGGTTGGAGGAAAAACATCTTTGAGAAAGTGAGAGCAGTGGATGACTGTTCCTTACATATGTAAGTACAAATCACTTTCCATAGAAGGGCACAAGAATAAGGTGGTACCAAATCTGAAACTCAACACAGACTAAAAAGATTCCATACACAGTACACCTTTTATGCAAAGTACCTGCAATTGCTCTACGCACACACAACTTCACATGTCAAATTTAAATACCATCACCCATGGTGTCACGCTCATATTTGCCAACTCTTTCATGTGGATAAATCTAAGCAGTATGACCTGTCACACAGCACTTTTCTGTTTTTCTGTACGGTGAAGGTACTTTTGATAAACTGAAACAGTGAGCTACCCAGGGGCAGGGTATTGTCCCATATTCACAGATTACACATTTCACAGATAAATCTCCCGGGTCCTAAACCAGATTTTCAGTGGTAGTGCGCAAAAAAACAGACTTGGAAATGTGAAATACCTTGCACTGTCCACCAATGAACTGTTAATGCCTCTGTCCTGGTAAATGACAACATCACTTAGATCGCTGTTCAGCCCTTCCGTTGGTAAGGAAGCATGTCTGACAATGGCAGATGAGACATCTTCCTGGTTAACATTATTCAACAATGGTTCATCATGTAGAGGTACGTGAGCCATCTCATATACCATTCATCTGTGTCTTACAAAGCATCAAAAAACGTTACCTTCTGCAGGTTGCAACAATGGACAGTGTAATCATTGTCTACTCCATCCTCTGTAGGTAATACATTTGAATGGAGCAATACATTTCTCTAAGAAATGTTCTCTTTTACAGTCTGGGGGTCTTTGGTTCTATACATGCTGATCTGTGACTTGACTGTCATCACTTCATAGACAGTAGAATCTCATTTGTCAGAGTTTTTCTTTCTGCTGCTCTTTCCTTGATTGATGAGCAGCACTTTGCCTTATACAGTTAAAGGTAGTCTTTTTACTGTATGGATGGATATCTTGATATGGTATTCACCAAGACTCTGCTGCTGGGCAATTACAAAGGTCATTTCTTAAGTTGTACATAAACTGACAATTGTAAACAACATCATCTAGAAGGACTTTCTGTAACAGAAAGAGGGTGGTGTGGCTGAGGAGTTTAAAGCCTTGACTTAAAGCTTCAGTCTCTCTGGAGGCGAGGGTCTGAATCCCTCCACTGCCAGTTTTCTTTGGGTGGGAACAGGGCTCATAACTGTAAGGTTTCTGGTTTAATTCCCTGTTGGTGCACTGCTGCTGTACCCTTAGGCAAGGTACTTAACCCAGAATTGCCTCAGTAAAATATCCACCTGTATAAATGGAGAATGTAAAAATTGTGACCTGTGTAAGTTGCTCTGGATAAGAGTGTCTGCTAAATGCCAGTAATGCTTAATGTAACATGAAATGAATGGGAATCCATAGAACTGGAAAAGCATGGTGAGAAACTGGCAATATTCAATCTATGCACTGCCAAGGACATCAACATAATTATTCAATAACCGTCTGTAGTTTTAAACTGATGCAGTTACCTTTTAAGGACATTGTTGCCTAAAGTCATCTCATCAACTTGATCAAGTTGGACCAGTACTGTCATGAGCATTTTGCACCCGTTTTCTGTTGCTTCAACTTCGTACATAACTTCTCGGGTAAACGGATGACTGCCTCAGCTACAATGACGATGTCATCAACTGGGAAGGGCGCGATTTCTGCACCACTATGCGGGCGTTTTGTTTCGTCTGTGTCACGGACCATGTACACCATCGATTGACTGTCAGCAGAGATTTCAGCTGCATTTGTTTCACACAAAAGACTGGTGTAAAACCAACTGTCACTTTGTGCTTCTTGAAAGGCAACAGCCCTGTGTGATGGCACCTTGTGTCTGAAGGCTTAATACAAGGACTCACAATCATCTGTCGTCCATCACACGTAAATAATTGCACATCATTATTGCTCATAATTAGTGCAAGTTTTGCTTAACTTTTCGAACGCACTGCGGAAAAAGCGACAATCACCACGTTCATACCCAGATCAGCGCACCGTACATCCTGAGATAGAAATCCACAATTGATAGATGAGTTTGTTTACTTGGGGTATATGGTATATGGGTATATGATATATTCTTCGCTGTTAATGAGAAAGCTAATCAGTTGTACTGATGTTGTGGTTTGTTAAACATTTTTCATTATACAAATAAACACCAAAATAAAAATTTAAGACGTTAATGCGTATGTCATACAATTCTCTCCACTGCGGAAAAACTTCGATCGCTTCTTAACGCATATTCCGTCTAAAATGCCGAAAAATAAAGTTTTAGACGCGTATTGCAGTTTGCCCCAGTTTGTGGAACACCGTAGAGTCTTTGTGTATTCCATGTAACCACTATGGGGCGCCCAAGGCAAACCTGTGATTTAACTTCATGCATTAGTGTGATGCTGAACAGTGGTCCTAGGTTGATTGCTGTCTGGAGATACAGCGTACCTAGATGAGTAAGTCCAGGTGAAGTTGAATGACTAGTAGTCCATGTTCCAGCTGTACACATGTCGTGTGAAAAATAGATCCGTATCCACCGGGATCCAATAAACACATAATATAAGCCTGAACACAGTGGGAGGGCAGCATTTAAATGTACCTGATATATTTAGGTAGCCTAAAATCAATACTTTGCCGTATACATTGCTCAACAGGAAGCAGTGCTGTAAAATTCATAATGATAGCGGTGGCATTATTTCTAATACTGTCTAGGTAGGACTTATTTTATTGCTTATTTTCTTCATTGTGACAAAGAGGGAAGTGTGACACGTCTGGACTGAAACCGTGCCTGAAAATAGCCAAAAGAAATGCAAATACAGCGGAATCTCTGTGGAGAAGAAACCAAGCTCAGCTGTGTCGTATTCGGCAGGAAGGCCGATTCTGTGAAACTCTCTCTGCAGTTGTATTTATTTTAAAACATTAACACCATCATCATCATCATCATCATCATCATCATCATCATTATCAAGACGGCCTGCTGCGCTCTGACGACCGCATGAAGGGGCAGACGTGTTGGTACTACAAACGCCGTGCTTAGAATCCCCCCCCCTTCCAATCCTCACTCGCGTTTCCACACCGGACTACCGTTTAATACCGTTTATATTCATACCTGTGGGTTATATGTATAAACAGCAGTCATGTGTGCATCTGACTGCAGACTTTATATTGTCAACTATTACAATGCTTCGATGTTTTGCCTTTCACTTAAAGACATTTCACTTTTTATACCTTTTAGTGTTAACATTGGCTACGTTCTTCATGAACGTGTATTTCCCCCTATATTTTAAAGAGTAAACGAAAAAAGTGTCTTTAGATGTCCTCACTTTTAGCCGCACATTGAAGAGTAAACTGCGCCGTGCACTGTCATAGCCATTGAAATCCTGTACAATTTATGAATATCACACTACCATTACCTTGGCAACCACGATTAAGCACCCAAGTGGAGATTACCTCCCATAACCTATTGGGGAGCAACCGAATGATTGCATGCACCTAGATCATGGAATTGCCGTGCTCTGTATTTCAGGTAAACGCGTATGTGACGTAAATAAAGAGTTTCTTTTGTGTTATTTGAAGATGCCGTGCGCTCTCCGGTGAATTCGATTAAACCGGCCAAGTGCGAAACAAAGGGAGCTTTAATGCACAAACCACACGAGATAGCTGCCCGACGAAGAAAGAGAAATTGAAAATGACACCCATAATGTTGTCTTTAAACTACAAAAGCCCGCTTAGATGTTTGTACATTAAGTGCTGTTGATGGACTTGAGCACTTTCCCATGGGAACTGAAATATGCGGTGGAAGAGCACATTTGCATTGACGCCTCAGTAATTTCTTTCATTCATTGGCTTCAGACTGGTTCCACGCCCATCGTCTGGCTGGTTAAAACAGTGGTCTTCACGATCATTCTCTCCAGCGTGTCACGCACCATGCAATCTGCAGTTCACTGATTTCCCCGTGTTCCCATGTCAGCTGAAACGTCGGGGGATCGTGCAAAACGTTATACGCGCTGTTCCCACCGCTTCACGGACAACAACTGCTTTCATCCACTGAGAAACGCGTGTGCTCCTTCACCTCATGATTAAGGCTGCGTTTCAAACCTGGTTTTAAAGAACAGTGGGCTCGATGAGATCGAGCCAGGGACTAAATGGTGCGGAGTGAGATTAAAGCCCAGCCTACATAGGCATTTTAGAACCACATGGAGCATTTAATACAATAATGGGCCAACTAAACCTGAGTTCACATTACAAATTGATTTAAAACAACTGCATTGGAAGCCATTATTGACCCCTTCCCAACAGCAACATGCATACATAACAACAGTATGTTTGGACCTTTTTGACTACCCTGAGGGATTGTTTCAAACAGAAGCCCCCCTTTCACAGTAGTAGACCCAGTGTTGTCTCACCCACAATTGCCTGCTCCTGAAGCATGTGGCACACAGCGGCACATGAAGAACCACATTCCCCCCACTCCAGCCTTGGCAGCAAAGAAGGGAAATACTTGCAGATGCGTGCAAGACAATCAAAGCACTGGAGAGGACAGAGGCTCCGCCACTGTCCGCAGCCAGCTGAGTGCTGCCATCCATGTAGTCTGTCATGCATCATCTGACAGAGAAGAACCATGGTATAATGTCACAGGGTTGGCAGCATGGAGGAGTGGTAATGAGTATGGCTCGTAATTGAAAGGTGGTCAGTTCAATTCCCCCAGCTGGGCACTGTTGTACCCTTGGGCAAGGCACTTAACCCAAAATTAGTAGTAGTAAATATACAGCTGTATAAATGGATAAAATTGTAAGTTGCTCTGGATAATATAAATGGATCTGCTAAATGACAATAATGTAATGTAAAGCATATATGAGCATGTGGCACAATGGTTAGAGCAGTGGAAGGTAGACATGGGGATTGTGGGTTTCAGTTCATTCAGTCCAGCCGGGACACCACCAACGAAACCCTGAGTAATGCACATTATCTTACATATTCAGGTAAAAAATATATATGTGTGTGTGTAACAGTATGCATAAGCATTATACCTTTAATCATGACATCTACTGGAAACATTAATAACATTAACACTGCAATGATGGCACCATCTGAAAACTGAACAATACTATCACAGGGATTTTTTTCTAGAGTAGCTGAATTCCAGTCTTTAAAGGTAATGTCAAGATGTAGGTAACATAGATAACATTGGTCCCACATTGGGGTAGAAAGTGTTTCATCAGTAGTATGTGACTGACACAGGACTGAAATTTGGGTGAGTTGCTAAACCTGAAACTGCTGATAACCCGCGACAAGCTGAGCACCGGTATACCTAATATGAGAACACACCTCCCTGGTTATTGTCTTGGGGCCAGCATCTGTGTTTGGGTGCACTGTGTGCTAAAGTCCTACTCACAGTTATACAGGTGTGGGGGCGTGGGGCATCAGTGTACCACAACTCAAGAATAATGACAGCAGCAAAGACAAGCTGAATGGTCACAATATGCCCCATGCTTTTACCTGGCTAAGGCCATAGCTCCATGGTCTGCAGTTCCCCCATGCAAGGCTTGCTGAGCGGAAAGAGGGAAAGAGCAGCCTATGGCTGCTACATATTTCCTAAAGGATGCCCTGTTGCAGTGTGAACCTGGATGCATATGCTGATAAAAACAGGACACTGCCTTTCCCGTAATAAAGCAGCCTTTATCTGGGACATACCCTCAGCACCGAAGAACAAACCGTGATAGACATAGCGTCCCTCTGGGAGATTGGCGGAAAGTTCCAGCCTTTGTCCTATATCTAAGGGTCACTGCAGGGCCACAATGTAAAACAAATTTATATAGACTGGCAACATTCACACAACACATTATACACACTTTGCAATGAAAAACGAAAATGTGACCAAATGCCTCAGGCTGATATATTAAGAGTTATTAGCAGTTTATATTATTTTCATTTAACACAATCACATTGAAATCAGTTTTAACATTTCTAAAGGAAGGGAATACGCAATCAAAAATGAGCCTTTGACAAAGGGTTCAGATACACGTCTCGCACTCTAGGGAAATTTCCTGTACAAGGCTCATTTATTACTGCTTTGTATGACCAACCACTTTACCACAGTTTCATTTTCTAATTCTCTTAAAAAGTTATAAGAGAATGAGCTGGAAATATCACGTG